ATAACTGGTCAGTTCCTCCTCAGCTAAGAAGAATACTGATTTGATGTGAGAAACATAGCAGGCCCTTAAATTAAAAATGTTACTGGTGAAGACTAACACTTGTAAAGATGAAGTTCCACATCCTTTGCAACGCTAATTTAGTTATACCTTTCAGGTTTCCAATATTCATCGTGGTAACTGTTCAAGTTTAGCTGTGAGCCATGATGGAAAATATCTGGCCTCTGCTGGAGACAAAGTTGTAAAGATTTGGGATTATCATATGCGACTGGACATTAACTTTCAGGTAGTTCCACTTGGTTGGAAAGAAACCTCACGTACAGCTAAAATTTTGGGACTGGGTTGAAATCTTGCATGTTTAGTACTTTTCCTTGTCATCAAGGGATGAAGAAAAGATCCTTGATTGGCTGGGAAACCTTGACTCATCATACAGAAAAGTTTGCATACTTCATGATCTCTGTATCATTCCAACTTCAATAGGAAATCACAATCAAAAGTCTTTTTTTCGATTTTTTAAATAGGTCTTTATTGGCCATTCAGATCACATTCAGCAAGTTGCTTTCACTCCAGATAATCTTGGGCTAATTAGTGTAGGAGAGGCCATTTTGTTATGGGATTTTCATGGAAGAGTGAGGCAGACACAAGTGAATGGGTAAGTTTTTTTCCATCAAAAAGCAGGATAATTATTTGTATATTGGCAAACAATACATATGAATAAGAACAGTTTTTAAATCCTCTTGCCTGGAATTTGAAAACAGTGTCAAACAGTTTTTATGATAACACCAGCATGAATTACCTTGAATGAATATATTTTTTTTTCTAATTATTTCAGTTGATACTAGTATGTAACCTCAGGGTCATGCAAAACATTGTGGGTCTTCCATGTTCATTTATGTTGTACAATAGATTTCCTCAGAATATTAAAACTCATTCAAATTGGATGAATTGCATGTTAATTACGGTAACGATTACTGATTTGGTGATTACCTTCCAGAGGACGCAACCCACAGAAAAGTTACATTCCTGAACTAGCAGGTATTGTTGAATGACATCCTTATAAATATTTCCCAAGAAAAAAAGTAAGACTTACCTTAAGACTAACCAATTAAACTGTCCTTATTTTTGTCATGTGTAAGCAGAAAAAAGTGTGAAAATCACTCCTGAAAGACCATATAGTCCACCAAATGGTCATCCTAACACAGTCATCCCAAGAAAATCAGTTCCAGTACCAACTAAATATGAACCTCCTCAGTTTGACATCAGCCCAATTCCTGCTGATGTGCATGACAGCGAAAATGTTCGTGGTACCCTTGATAGAGTGCTGCAGAGTGAAGTTCATGATAGTTACTCTCCAGAGAAAAGCAAAAGCCCCCAAAAACAAGTTTTGCTCAACACTGGTGAATCTGTAAGAATGAAGTTTTCATTTACAATTTTCTTATTTTAAATTAAATTACTTGTTGATTTGTTTTTTTGTTGTTGCTCTGTACTGTGTGTATCATTGGTGAAATGACTCACTCACCCCATGTTTTGCATCACATTGTTTCCTAGGGCTCCCCTGTCAAGACTAAACCTCCTGCCAGAAGATTGAACTTCAATGTTCCCCCACCGGGTGGATCAAGAGTAGTAAACAGTGATGACCATCCTGTCCCTAAGGTCACTAGACACTACAGGTGCCGTGCAAGGACTTCCTCTTTGGCCGACCGCAGATACACAGCTCCTCCAAACCAAGCAGGACTCCAGCTAAAATCTGTTCTTGGATATAATGGGAATGGAAGGAAGAATTTGGTCTGGAAATATGACACAGGTATTTTTACACTGAGATAATAGACAAACTTCATAGACAGGTTATTATTTTATGAAATTTATGTTTAGCCAGAAAGTCTTCACTGTCTTCTTTTCAATTTTTTTTTAATATGAAATATCAAAGGAAGATTCAAGATACAACATGGAGTCTGGAGAAATAGGAAGAATGTCTTGAATGTTAATTTTTCTACTTTTCTGTCAATAAATGATCTTTGGTGTAAGTGAAAATAGTTTTGCACCATCTGTAGAATATTGGCACAAATAAAAGTACATTGTTAGTAAATCAACAGCAAAAGGTTTTTAAGACTGGATAATATCCTCCAGTTGTTAACTTTTTTAGTTACTCATCACCAGTATTGAAATGTTTAGGGGAATGTAAAAAGTTAATATTACCTTTGACAACTTAGAGTTTCAAAGCATGTTTAATTGATGATGTCATTTTTACCATACTGCTGAATCAAGTTGAGTCACTTGTTAAATAAATGTTCTTTTGCTCTCCATCAAGGCCTCTTTGCCTACACCAGTGGGTGTCTTGTGGTCATGGAGGACCTTCATTCTGGTACTCAAAGGCACCTTATGGGGCACACAGAAGAGATCTCTACATTAGCCCTACAACATGATGGTCTGATGCTGGCCTCAGCTTCTGGGCCTTCTGATACAGTAGCCAGTCAGATCCTCTTGTGGAACCTGCCAGATGGAGTTTGTCAAAAGGTATGTTTCTTGTGTTTACTTTGATGCACATGCTTGCAATGCATAAATAATCAATGCAGTTGGTGAGCACAGGGGCTGTTGGTAAGAATGTAACTGTGTAGTATATATCTCTCACATGGTCATTTACATATAGCAGAGTCAGATTTCACAGCCTTACACAAACATCATACTTAGAGAGTGTGTCATTGTATTTAATAACTGATATTATTTTATATTATGATATACCAGTTTTATTGACTCAAGCATTTTTGTGAACCATTACCAAACTTGCAAATGCCTTCTTGTAAACCTCCACATCCCCTCTTTTTCCTTTAGTGTTTTTCTACTGTTGTGTAATAAGAGGCATTGTATGGGTAAATTGCATAAGAACACAAATGAATGAGACTGTCACCATTGTTTGACCTGAGCTCTGGACTGATCCCTAATCTCTGTCCCATCATGTTGCTCCTGTCCTGTCTCTTCATTTCTTTTTTTGTTTTGTTTTGTTTTTTTTTTTTTGTCTCCTTATTACAAGTCATTTTCTTTCAGGTTCTAACCCACCATGAACATGAGATAGTCTGTCTAGCATATTCCCGTGATGACAGATTCCTTGTGTCAGTGGGTGATTACAGGGAGTGTTCTGTTGTGGTTTGGAGCACAAGAGACTTGGTAGTCCTTGCCTCCTCTTTTGCCAGGCATCCAGTTCATGACATCATGTGGGATCCATACACTGCTAATGAATTTTGCTCTGTGGGTCAAGATGGCTCTGTGTTGTTTTGGTTACTGGATGAGACTGGTGATCAGATGACACTCAATGTACGTAAACACTAGCTTAACTTTTTTAAAATACAACTGAAAATCAATAACCTTGGATTAGAGCTTGGAGGGGGTTTGTAATCAGATGTGTAACATTTCCCTCAGACAACCAGCTATTAATAATAACTTTGCCCCCTTCCCTACCAAACAATTATTACAGCCTATTTTGTAATGTGATCAGCCCAAACACTGAATCCCCCCTGCCCAACAGCAGCACTCATACAAGTCAAGGATAAGGGAAAGAGCTTTTTAAATGAGAAACCAAAGTCTTTTCAGAGCAACTAATAGTTCTTCAATATTGTTTAGGTTCATGAGCCAGAGGTTCCAGATGAACTTACACAGTCCAAGAAAGTTGTAAGTTTATTTCATTAATTTTTGCTTTTGTTTGTCTTCTCAGTAGTATTAGTTTTTCTAAGGTCATGAAACAACCTGTAGGGTAGTTTTCCCCTTTTTCTAATCTCCCAAATGGTCTTAGGGCTTTATTTGGCCATTGTGATTACCTTCTTTCATATCAATTTTATAACTTTTGAAGAGTTCTAATAGTACTTTAAGGCAACCTGCTCTGAAAAGGATCATAAAGAACATACTACAATGCACAATAAGTGAATCCTTTACAAGAACTAAGTTAATTTTCTTCACAGAGAGATGAGTATTATGATTTCACAGCTGTTTGGTATGCAGGAGACAGTACTATGTATGCTGCTACAAGCTCAGGTATTTAAACACCCAGCAGTGATTTGCTAGTCTAAACAATATACACCTGTCGAAGTTGTAATGCATAGTACTTTCTTGTCACCTCTGACAGCACAACTACTTCTTCATTGTGCAATTAACTGTTCTTCAATTGACTTATTTAGACTTTATAAAGCCAAGTTAGAGGGATTACTCAGGGATGATACTGTATTGAGAAATTAGAAGCTAGTTACTCTTTGGAGTTGAAGGGTTATTTAAAAAAACATTACAGAAGGCAATAGGTAAAATGTGTCTTTTTTTAACAGGAATGTTATCTGCCTGGGACACCAGGCAGAACAAGTGCTTCATTCACTGGCAAGGAGACTCTGCTGAAATTGGTACGCAGGTGTAGTAGAATTTAGAAAAAGGCATTGGAGAAATCTAGCCTTCAATGGAATGGATGAGTGCAAACATGACAAATGTCACATGGGCTTTGAAGTTTTGGGGAGGTCCCTGAGAGATGGTGGAAATACTAGATACAATGAGCAAACACAGAACACTGCTATAAATCAATGACAACCAAAATTGCTTACTGCATACCATATATTGTACATGCAGTGGTACATTTCTGACTTTTAAAAACATGATTAAATTTTTGTAGGTATGCTTATGGGATATGGTGGTACTCTTATTGCTGGCAGTGCCTCAGGGAATCTCAGATTGTGGTCTGTGGTAGGAGTGAGTGAGATGCGACTTCCTGGAGATGCCACAAGGTACAATAAACCACAATGAAAAGTTCATAGCTAACACAGACAATATTTAATTTTATGCCTGATTCCATTAGCTTTCCTGTACTTCAGTCATGGAAAGTTCTCTCAAATGCCCAGTTTCCATCACATTTAACAATTATTACCACCCAAGTGAAAAAGAGAATTTTATTAATCTGTACTTTTTTTAGATTATCCAGCAATGGTTTGGTTATGGAAGATGAAATGACACTTGATGGAGCCATTATTTCTGCATCATTTGATGAAGCATTGGAAACTGTGAGTTTCATTCTTTTCTTGCACCTCTTGTTGATTTCATGTCACTGTACTTTATAATCATTACTACATTAACAGAATTAATGGAATTCATGTTGTGTCATTTTTTAAAGGGCATTATCGGTACATCATCAGGTACATTATGGTATGTCAACTGGGATGAAAGAACCAGTATCAGGTTGGTCAGTGGCCATGCACAGAAGGTGAGTATTGCTTCTTTGAAGGATTTATAGGAAGTCCTACTCTCAATGTTGATCATTCATTCTTCCTGATTGGTTTACGATTGCTTAGTTAACCAGTTTGATGGTTTAGCATGATAGTGTAACCTTGTCTTTTCAGTTTTGAAGCATGATGTAGTGATTGGCTGAGTATAGAATGTTACAGTTTAATTTAACCAACAGAAAGAACACTACAATCCTAAAAACTCAACTACTTTATTAAACTTCGAGTGATATTCTTAACAAGGAAACAGTTATTATCCTCCATAAACTTACTTAAGCCTACCGCAGTCTATATCTTAGATCTCCACTGACACAAACTCACAATTTTCTCCAAAGTTCCTTGAAATGAACAATCTTCCACAGTAGGTCTCTCTCAGTCTAGCTATCCAGAAATTCAGTCATTCCTGACAACAACAACAACAACTACTACCACATGAGTGCCAGTCCATGTATACATTTACAAAGTATTCTAGAACATTCAGGAATCTTACAACAAAACTGTTTTGGTAGTTTTACATCATAACTACGCGACCTATTGGAACATTCCAGAAAGTTCCATGGTATGCATGTCAGCATGACTAGGCATGCTATAAATTTCTTGAAGCTTATCTTTTCAGATATTATCAATAACAAGAAACGTATTAGTGCTGATACCTAATTAAAACAATTTTCAATGATGATTCACCATTTTTCCTATTTGTAGATTAATGACTTACTCTTCAGTGGTCCAGATGACCAATACTTTGCAACATGTAGCACTGATGGAATCTTACATCTCTGGAGCAAGGATAACTTGGAACATCTTCAGTTTCAAGTTCTTGGACAGGTATAATACTGCATATTATTTGTTGGTTTCATTGGTACTGTAATAATAATAATAATAATAATAATAATAATAATAACCCATCATATTTTAGCTGGCATGTTATTGATTTAAAAAGTTCGTGGGACCAAAATTTTCCTAAACTGAAGCTGTTGGAATATGTATTAAGTAATAGTCCCCATTTGATGCCAAACTCTGCTTATATAGTTGTCAATTCTCAGACATTATCTGTTTCAAGAAGGGAACAGTTTTCAGGGAGGAAAGCTTTTGGAAAACTTTGAGCTTCATGGTGAAATTCCCCAATTGATTTTATCCCAAATTTCAAGCCTTGCAGAAAAGAAGCAAGTATCTTGATGAAAGTAGAAAAAATAGCTTTAAATTTGTGGGTTTATCAACAACTAAATTTTTTCCAGAATTGCAACTGTGTGTCCTTCAGTCCAGTACCAACTGCCACTCCCACTAAATCTGTCACAAACGAGGGACAGACTATCGCAACTGTCCACCCACAGCCTCAACCTGATGATGAGACTATTATTCACCCTTCACATTGTGCTGCTGGGTACAGTGATGGAACTATCAGAATATTTGATTTGGGTAAAGTGGAAATGGTTATGAAAATGCAGCCTCATGCTGCCGCAGTGACAGCAATAGCATTCTCATCTTTTGGTAAGAGTATGCATCATATGTCGGTGCATTTTTTCACCAAAAATATTTTTGTGTTTCTTCTGGTTTCTAGATTTACACTAAAAAACGAGTTTACAAATCATGTGGCTCTTCTCTTGAGCTTCAAGATGGTTGGAGTGTCTGGGATACATTGTGGAAGGGTTTAATGTTACTTCTTTTACAAAAAACAAAGAAGACAGCAAAATACTATGCTGAGTTATGCATGTAACTTCATTAACCTTTTACACACTGTAATACATGCATAACTGTTACAGGAAGAGTGATTATCAGTGGTGCTGAAGATGGTTTGCTGGCTATCAGTAGTCCCTCAACAGGGTTGACAGTGAGACTTCTGAATGATCACAAGGGTGCACCAATCACATGTATTCACATCTCATCTATTAAGGTCAACTGAAGTTTCCTAGAGTTATCTTATGAACATTGCTGCATTGTTACATGCATTTTGCATTATACCTGTAGACATGCCACTCATAATTGGACTTTAAGCTACAGTGTAACTTTTTCTTTGAAGACTAAATTATCTTAAGTTATAATTCAAGATTCCATAGGAAAATTCAACGACCGACGATAAATTCCATGCTAAATTTAAAAAAATTTAATATCTTTTTCATTGCTTCACAATTCATTCAATGATGGCTTTCATCTTGCAAGTTAGCATGCATGCAGTTCTTTCGTTAAGTAGTGATTTTTCAATATAATTTAGCCTTAAAGTTAGGTTTTTTTACATGTTTCTTACAATTATTAAAGAGAGTTAACATTACATTGTTAAATATTTTGGTAACTCTTCTTCTTTTTCTTTACACCACCACAGGATCAACAGTACCCAATGTCATCCCCATTGCTGTGGCTAGCAGCAAGTGCTGATCGCCGCATCAGTATCTGGAGTGCTGACTGGTCCAAAGACTTCTGTGAATTAGTAGACTGGCTGACATTTCCTGCCCCACCCTTTGGACCTGATGGACAAGCTCTTAGGAGAGGGGACCCTGTATGTCACGTAGAAATATATTAAGAATATTTGACATGTTTTTGGTGTTCATCTCATACTTGATGTTAGCATGATTGTTAGACTAGTTTAATTTATTATGAGCTTGAAGGGCTCCTTGTAACAGTGTAACAGTAACGTAATGGTTACTTTGTACAATGCCCACAATGTAAGAGGGTGATGTGTCTTGAAGTCTCGCCATTCAGCTGAGAGTGGTCTTTACAAGGGTTGCTGTCAGTAGTTAAGAGATTGAGAGTCATTATCAGTCCCTTCACTCTGATGTTTACTTTGGCTCACATTGTTGAAACCTATAGTCACTGCCACCAGCAGCAAGGCATGTCAGTACTTCCCTATCCCAAATGATTAGACTGAGTTTAAATTATAAAGGTCTTGACCAGTGGGCAAAATAATACCATTGCAAGAATCAATAACTGTATATAACTGTTTGCTGTGACTTCATCATGCTATAAGTTAGAGAGTGACATTACTTGTCATGAAGCTTATTTGTTGATGAATATCACCTAAAACAGGCCCACTTCTCACAGCTGCCTCCAAGCCTGGCCCAATTCTCTCCTACAGACCCTGACATTGTTGTTTACACTGGCTATGGCATGCAGAAAGCTGTTCAGTTCTACAGTCTGGCTCAGAAAAAGGTACCATCATTCCAGTACCATTAGAATTCCCCTTTGCACTACACTTAAATAAAATTGAAAATTTCCAAACTCAAAATGTAGCATCTTCCTCACTCTATTGGTTCTGTCATCAACACAAATTAGGAGACTCTGGATAATTCTCCTTTGTTTTTTTTTCTTAATTACAAAGAGAAAATAAAAAATGTTGTGTGTAAAATATTTTTTTAGCAGCTCAACCCTCATTTCTCCCCTGTCTTGACTCATCTTCAATGTATATAACTATGATGTCATGCAATCTCACTTCAACCAATGGTGCACTGTCCCATGTTTGCAGACTAGAGTAATATTTCCAATATAGTAGAAAGGTCACTTGCAAGAACCAAACTTCAATATGTTAATTTTCAATATTAACACAAAGACCTTGGCGTGAAGCCCTGGGTAGCAAACAACAGAATTTACTGGTTTTATTCCCCACAGCCTTGTTGTGAGAGTTGATGTTAAATGCTAAAATGTATATATCTAAATCAGGAAGTTTGCATGTTCACTTGTTATTTACTATCTGTACAATTAAACTATTCATAAAGACTACTGTGGTTGTGGGGTGCCTATTCTAATGGCTGCCTTCAGTTTTCAGACTTGTTTTGCTGTGAGGGGTCAACTTTTTCACATCCTAATATATGTCTCTTTTCAGGTTGTACATACTGCAGCACTCACTCAGTGGGTGACCTCCATGGATATATCACCCATGGGACATCTCATTGCTTTTGCAACAGAAGGTAGTCTGGTGTTACAATATATTTTATTTTTTTGCTTGAAAGGCATTGTGGTAAAATTTAGTTGAAACCCACAGCACAAGTCTGAGCTCAAGCAAAACTCTACACACCTGGAAATTAAATCTAACAAAACCTTTGATGTGAGTCAAATTTACTTTTACATATCTTTGTGCAATATCCAAGCAATACCATTTTCAGAATGAAAAGGTTTGTAAACCACACAATACCAAATTGTAACTCCCTGTATAAGGGAACCCAACCTTGTCCCTCTTGTAGAAGAACACAAAAAAAGTTTTTAAATCAAAAGCTGAAGTAGTATCTCTTGCAGTATCTCAATTGTTTTATAATCAATAAGAACCCTTACGATGAGAATCTATTTTGCTCTACTTACAGAGCGATTAGTCAAACTGATGGACTACAATGAGGGAAGCTTTCAGGATTTCGTGGGACACTGTGATGGTGTGAACAATGTTAGGTTTGCACCAACTGGGGAACTACTGTGTTCAACAAGCCAGTCAGAAATTTTGATGTGGAACGTCAGGGCTGAACTTGATTAGGTTGCATGAACCAGTATTGGAGTTCCCAACAGCACATCTCCATACTCAGAGGATGAATTGAAAAGATAGTACAGTACAACAAGATCTAGCCAGTTTGACTGAAGAGGAAGGGGAGGGCAGAGTAAAATTTGTGTGCAAAGGGTAACCATTCGGGGAACAGGATGATCCCACTGAATCTGACCTAACATCCAGCAAATGATAGAAATTTCATTGGAAAACAAATGCACAATGTCCCAAAAACAACCGCAAAACAGTAGCCTGGTGAAAAGTAAAGTAACATGAAAACTCTCAAGACATATTGCTCTCAAAAAAGCAACACTTATTTTATATACACAAAATCATACACATCACAACACTCACAAACTTAAAAGTAACATGTTACAAGTGAGCATATTCCACCAATATGTATATCATGGTGGTCAAGAAACTCTCTTGAGAAATTCCTCTGTAAATGAAGAGGGTAAAAATCTGAGTCTCCTGAAATGCCATGAAATGTTTGAAAAGAATAGAAAATTTTCTTGTATTGATGTAAATTCTTTCTGGAAATGGTTTGAAACCTGAATCTGTTGTCTTTGTGGCCCAATGTGGTAAATAGCCTCAAAGGCTCTCTCTTAAAAGTTATTGCATAGTCTGTAAACAACACGACTTCTAGAGAGGGTCACATGTTTATGGAGTGTTGTACGTACTAGTTGCATACAGTCCTGTTGTAAATATCACAGAAACTACGTGTGAATATAATTTGTTAATATTTTGTGATTAATTGTGGCAGACTTTTTTACACAGCAGTTTACATGCTTACCAGGATTGGTTATTTTGTATGCAATAATACCACTGATAAGTGTGTAGATGTAAAATGCATTTGATCTCAACAACCCAAGGATCCATAAACTGTCGCCATAAATTCCAGTGTTACACTCACTGTCAGTAGTAGCATTAAACTGAGTCTTTTTCCTTGCAGATCACACAATAATAATTCACTTTTCCTTTAAAATTCCCACAAGTAATACTGATTTTACTTCAACTGTCCATGTGTGTTTTGTGTCCAAAGGACAGCTGTTTGAATTGCATATATTCACTATGTAATAACCATTATACTGTATTTCATAGAGTGAGTGCCCAAGTGCTTAATTAATTTTCAGCTAAAAGAAGGGGCACTCGTTCGAATGAGGGTGCTTGTTAAGAAACTCTTAACCTGTAGTGATTCAGCTGTAGTTGAAGCTTAAAAAGTTATAAACAGGGTGGCACTAGAAACAGGTTTTTCTTCTGTTCCTACTATTTAAGAAAGTGGGAGAGGAGGGGGTGCTTGTTTGATGTATCTGCTCAGGGGGTGAGCACTTTTTAGAGCATAGGTGCTTATTCAAGGAAATATCGTAATCAGTTCTGTTTTCCAGTTCATGCTTGTGATACATATAAGTCATGTGGCTCGTGTTTTCAATATTCTTTATCCTAATCAAACATTGCAGATTGTATTACAATACATAGCCAAATCTTTCTGGTGATAGACATGTTTATTTTCTAAACAATAATTACCAATTTAAATTAAGATCTTAAGGTCCACTTTCTAACATATCCTAGTTGTTGTCGTTAGCTGATTACCTTCAATACATTTGCTTTGAACTAAATTACTATATGAGAATTTGAGACCAAGATAATCAACATCATATAATCTGAATAATCCAAAGGCTGTTAGCCTTCCTTGTAAATAAATGACAAAACAGGGGCTTCTTAATAGCTGTTATACATTCAAGTTGAGTACTGAAAAGTCATTTACTTAATATTGCACTTTATTCCACCAAAGCACTTCAGCTTTCAAATTTCTTTATATGCCTGAAGTTGCTGGTCTATTGTTCCTTATGTCAATATTTTGCAAACCCTAACTAAAATCATGGAGATTTATCATTTTTTATTACACCAGCAGATATCTGTGATATAAGGTAGCTTATAAATTTGTGTCCCTTTTAGATCAGGGTGGTTGATCAGAATATCTCTAATCTTAGATTCAACTATTGTTCTCTTTTCTTTGCTGCTCTGGCTGATTGCACTGATACACATGATCACAGACACTATCTTATCAATGTCTCCTTCCAGGTATGTTCTACAGCTAATGTCCCTTTCTACTGAGGTAACTTTGCCAGAGCCATTTAAACTTTCCATCCATTTTAGTTCTCTAGGATCAGGTGGCATATCTTTTTGTCTCACAAATGGATTGACTATATCTTGCATAGCTCTCACCCATGGAACAGAAAAATCTCTATGGTTCCAAATCATGCCGTACTTGCCTCCAGGTTTAAGAACACGACAAATCTCAGCAACAGACTTTTCACTGGCAAACCAGTGAAATGATTGTGCACAAATTATAACTGGAATGCTTTCATCTGGCAGAGCTGAAAGTTTAACACAAGACAAAGGAATAATTCAGACAAGAAATGTAGCACTGAAAAGGAGAATGCAAGAGGGTGCAACTTTTGCCACTGTTTTCACCATGCTTTTGACTGGTTTAAACTGTGACATTTATCAAAACATTTATCAAAACATTTATCCTCAACATCCTCTTTCTGATAAGATGAGATTGATGCAGAAAAAATTGAAATAGTTATCACTATAAATTAAATCATATTTACAAATATTATGGCCTCTAAACAGACTCAAAACTTACTATATTTTCCAAAGTTGGAGCATTAAGAAATTGCCGGTTTTTCTTATGGGGTACATATTGCAAGATCACACTATCTAACCTGGTAGAGGTGTGGCTATGGGGGGGCAGTAGCATGTGACAGTTAAAAGCCAATCAATTATCTTGTATGATAAAACAAGCTGGTATGTGTATGTTCCAAACTGCAAGTGGAAGATAATATGATATACACCCAAAGACCAGGCAGGAACAAAATTAACACTGGCCAACCCCTTCTGAGGATGGGTTACAAATTTGAAGACCTTTTCTCGTGTCAAACAAACTCTGTAAAAAAAAAAAAAAACGAAAGGTGTTTTTGGTATCATCTCGAGTGTGACAAAAAGAGAAAATTCAAAGTCCTCCCAAGGAATAGGGGTAACGTGGTTGATTTGACTCGCTGCTCTCCACATACAAAATTTAGTGTTCCGCATGTTAGAGATCAAAGTGTGTGCGTGCACAGGTGGCCCAAGCTCCAGTTCTTGCGAAATTATAAGAGCCTGTATAGGTATATTTACGACCGCTCTTAGGAATAAAGAGATAAGTCAAATTCTAAATAAAAAACAAGGGAGGGCTTCTCTTATGTAGTAAACCGAGAAATGGATAACTCGCTGAAATGGGTTATTTTCAACATAATTTGAGTTAGAAGGTCAAGAGGGAGTCAAACATCATGATGGCGTGGATTGTGCCTCACCGATTTTCTCTGCCGGGAAGTGATACACCTCGATTCCAGGGACAAGTTTTCGGAACGTATCGCACATTACCTCCTGAGAGTCACTGGCAATGACTTCCACGTTAGCTCTCTCTGCCTCTAACACCTTAACCATAGCTCGCGTAAATTTTCCAGTTCCAGAGGCAATCTCTAAAAGTTTTATGGGCTCCTTCCTGTCCCAGGGCAGTACACCGACACGATTAAGGAGACATCTAACAGATTCTTGAGTGTATTCTGGTCTTCCTTTTTCGTACAGTGATAAATCCGTGGTAAACTTTCGTAACTCACTGCCGGCGTCCGCCATATTGAAAGAATACTTGATTTGCGAGAGACTGGAAGATAGATAATGGCAAACGAGGAACGTGGAATTGGGATGGAAACTCGAAACAAGACGATCGAATATCGTAGAACTGCTTCGAAAAAACCCACGTTTTTCACGGATCAGAGGGGCCTTTACATTCTCCTGATATATTTAAATGTGGTCCAAGGTGCTAACAAGGAAGATTAGGCTACCTACATATCAGCAAAATGCAGAATTATCTCTTGCATCAAGTCATGCAAACCCTCATACTGTCTCAGGGTAACATAACCATGCCAAACTCTCCTGTGCCACCCCTCGCAATGAAGTTTTGTAAACACAAAAAGTCAGCTATCGCAAATGTAAATGCTAATAATGTCAACAGGTCAACGCCTGCAGAGTTAAACAAAGTAAGTATTCCAAACAGTTTGCATGGTGTATATAGCTACATTTTTTTTATTTTGCCTAATAACTAACAAAAATAAGCATTAAAAACTGTTAATCAGGTGTTTGCTATCCAAACATCACCATAACCATAAACTTTGCGTGTGCTTTCTGTTACAACAGATGTTCACCCAAGTGACTTCCATGTATATCCTATTTTAGAACACTTAATTTCTGGAATACTGTGTTCTAGTTGGCTGTAATTTTCCAAGTGAGAATTTTCAACCATGCAAAATAAGATTCACATCAGCCTAAGTACTTGTTCTCTGAGATTGTGCACTCCCCTTTAAACCAAGCTATGGTTTGAGCAGTATTCTACAACCCACACATCACTGAGCTCACATTATTACTATGCTACATTTAGCTGTTAAATAATGTCTGCCCGTCTATCTGTCTGCCTTTTCCCTCCTTGCAGTTTTAAGAGAAAAAAGAGAATCAGATTTTCTTGAGTAGTAGTCCCTATCACTAACGGGCCTCTTTTACATCATTTTGAGTTTCTTGTGAGATTACCCATGAAGAAAATACTTTTTATCACTAGATTGACTTATTCCTTTTCTTTAAGTCTAAATCATCAAAAATATCCTGGCCAAAATTATTCTGTAAGTGTCAGGGAGAAAAAGAAGTCGTATACATGATTTATATCATGTACCTTTAGTAACTTATCATTTAAAGTTATCATCTTTGGAATGTCTGTAATTTGTAAATGTAGCATGATATAGACACAGCACCTTACACTAAACAATTTATTTTCCCGAGAATCTATGTTATTTGCTAACATGCAAATTAAGCAGATGGAGACAAGCTCCTTACACTTCACTATCTATTTTCCTTAGCATGACTCAACTGTCACAAATACTTGATATCATTGGCTTTTACAAATTAAATATCTACCAGAGGACCCCCAGCATGAAACAGTAACCATTTATAAGAGGACTTACAGCTATTATGGCTAATGAATTACATTCCATAATTTGATTATAAAGAAAACCAATGAATGGAGGAAACCTGATCCACACAACAAAACCCACAACCTTCTGCCTTTGTTTTATATTTTCATAATCACAAAAACTCGCCTAATTGTTTAAATAGATAGGCTATGAAGTCGTCTGATTGTCATTTCTCTTCTGAAATGGGTAGAAAGTGTTGGTAATAGTCTTTCGTTTTCTCTGTCATAATTTCCTGCATACATTCTGGTAATTCTGCTGAGAACACACCTGACAAGAAAGCACCGTAAGTGAGTTGTTTCACTTTGTTATAATTAAAATCTAAACACCGAAGTGCAGTGGCTGATGGTGGAACACCACTGGCCACTGACATTGAGGTAGAAAGTCACTTTAGCACAATGTGATATTAAAACAGTAAAATGATATAGCACAAAAAGATGATTTTAACTCATTTGTTCCAGTAAGGGTTAAAATATTTTCAGGTGCAAAGTCTGCTTGACTTGCTTGGAGGTGAATAACAAAGGATATTTGGACTTTGAGTAGCCAATCAGAGCACGCCTTCAATGCTAACCACTGTTTCACTATATGCTAATTATCATTGATCCAATTTGAAAACATTTCTCTTGTGTCTTTTAATTGCTGGTCTGTGATTCATCTATGATAAATCACATTAACTATGTAAAATCTGAAGCTTTTAAGGAGAAAAAGTCATCCAAAGTAATAGGGTAAAACAAAGAAACTAACAGGTTAGTGTGACAGAACACCCATAAAAAGTACTATGTTTGAGGAGATTAATGTTTGTGTTCAATTATAAACAAATACTCTCCAGGGTTTCCTATGAAAAATCCCCTAACCCTTTAACTCCCAGGATCTGATTGTTAATTCTCCCCTCTTGCTGCTATACATTTCCTTGTAAATTAGTTACAAGAATTTGGTGTTAGATCAAGATAACAACTTCTACCCGATACATTTGAGTACTCTCATTACCTGTTTGCTAGATTGTGGATGGATATTTTAGGGAGAAGTTACACATGAATCACTTCTGGGACTTGAAGGGTTAGGGGCACAAACTGATCAAAGTGTTTGATGACATATGCAGGATTTTGTTACAATGAAGAAATAGGGGTGTGCACCATATGATTTGAACAATCAGGTGAATGTATTCTCTGGAGGAACTGTTGTTTTTTATCAAGGCTTAAATTTTGTTAACCTGTGGAGAAGTAAGCATCAGAGTCGGGTGAGGAGGTGGTTCAGTTCAATTTAGTCATAATGGGAACTAAAGTTGTACAGAAAAATTGGTGACATACCTGGTGAGCCTGAATACAGAGTAAAAGGTGGAACAACAGTTTCAGGGGGGAGGACTGTGTTATCAGCTATAGCACAACAATCTTTTAATACACTTCGGCGACCCTTAAAAAGACATCAAACAGAAAAATGGTAATCCTTTACTTCAATAATTGCAATTATTATTTGTATTTCTTGGGCAGTTTTGATTTGATCCTTTAAAATAACTCCTCTAAAAAATAAGAGGAGCAGCATGATGTGAAATTTTGAATTCCACATTTTCTGTCCAAATTGCAAAATTCATCTCAAGACTTTATTGTTAAGTGTCATCCAAATATTCTTGAGAGAGGGACTAATCCAGCAGATCATTAACATATGGTAAAGGAAAATTTAAGGAATATAAATATGAGGACTTCAAATCTGTGGCTTAATCCTTCTTTTATTCAGATGAAGAAAATTTAGCACCAAGGTAATACAATGTTAGCTTAGGATGAAATATGATCTTGAAAAATGTGAATGCATTTCAACCCAACATATTCTATCAAGACAAATTACAGACGGGCTGTAAGTTAATTAATGCATTTTAGAACTAGGTAGACACATAGACCAGTATTATTCAAAAGAAGATGTTCTCATCAGCAGAAAGTTTAGTTAGTAGTAATTTAGTAATCTACTGTTTATAAGGTATACTTTAATTTTCAAACTTACAATTACACAGTTTTTTCCTATGTGGACATAAGAACCAACTTGAGCAGCATTGATGACACAATCCTCTTCAATAATAACATGGTCTCCAATATGGAGGGGAAAGAATGCAACTCTAAATACAAATCAGAAGAGAAGTACAATCAATTCAGTATTCTTGAGATATAACAGTATAGTTCTCGCACTTGAAAAACAAGCCATTAAGTTGTAAAAAAATTCCATCTTCCCTAGTAATTACTTAATAATAACTAATAATTAATAAGGCAGAAATGTTAAGAAATGTTAACCCTTTGACCTCTTCAAATGACCAGCATCTAATTTCTCCTTACAGAATCACCCCTGAATCACATATTGAGGTCAGGAGAATAAAGGAAATGATCACCTACTAAAGAAGCTCTTGATTGTTAAACAAGTTCTCCTTGTCAGTACTTTAGGAAATGTATAAAGAACAGTATAGAGAATATGCATACTGATGTTTGGGCAAAGAGGGTTAATAACAAAAAACAACACAAACCCTTTGCTGAATTTCTTAAATGGCGGCCTAATTACACTTCTTTTACTGATCACGCACTGTCTTCCGATTCTGACATTTGCAAGATCTCCACGTAAAATACAATCCGATTGAATGATTGTCTGAAAGAGGGATTAATATTGTTGATCAGTAAACAACTTTCAATGATATTTGATGACAGTGAAATACCACTCCGATTTTATAAGACCTACCTTTCCGTTTAAAACAATATTTTGACTCCCACAGAGAACTGACTGACGGCTTACTTTATTTCCTGATGCCTGAGTAACAAATAAACAAGTTTAACTCCTCGTGAAGAATGGAGAATGCCTCCAGATGGTTCAAGCACACGCCTAAATTGAATCATGTAGGGTTTCAAATCAACGATCTGTTACACTTACAGTTTCTATATATTCTGCTTTGTTGTAATACACGTCTTTTTGCTCCATTTATCAGACCAAGTTTACGCTAACAAGGTTAGTTGGTATAATATGCTTGGTTCATATCCCTGTTACTTCGTGTACAGAAATAACCAGGCACTATTGTCGTGGAAGGCTGGGTTCTAAATGTGGCCCAATTGTCTAGGGAGGGTAGGGCTAATTTTTCCTATGTACATTTTAATTATCCATAATTGCTTAGATTAAGAGGTTCCTTATTTTCTCAGATTCCTCATAGAAAATTTTCACTCTTTCTTACTGTTTAAAATTGGGTAAAATAAGTGAAAGGTCTAAATAAGCATCATGGTTTGAATATCAAGAATGGATTTCCCGTCTCCTCCCCAGTAGAGAATATCTTTTGTTCATTTATCCTTATTCCTAGCGTCTCGATAGTTCGTGAACACGATTTGCAGCACTTTCTTTACCTTTATGGCCTGGAATCAACCTCCTCCGGGACACCAGCCTGGTTATAATCCAGCTTATGTACGTATTGTCAAATACTTTCTAAGTTCTTGCTTTTGCCACGAATTCTTCGAATGTTTTTGAAACATCGTTACATGTTAACATCTTCCGGAAGATAGGCTAGTATATCTCGTTCTTGAGCAGTCAAAAAGCCGTGTCATTCTGTTATGTAACTGCTCTAGTGTTTATGCACTATAAGCAAACCTCGTTACCTACAAATCAGGTTATGTTACTAAGTCTACTCCACGTTCATGGATTACTTAGATTGTAATCAAGTTGGCAGTTGATAACTCGAATGCATTCGTTCAGCTCAATCGATAGACAAATTGCTAACAAGACAATTTTCATCTCACACCAAGTTAGATTAAACTGTTTGCTATGTTTTCTGTTTATTTTGTGATTTCATTATTGACGCATATGAAAGATTGCTAAATGAAAGCTATCATAGTCGTCATTTGGCAGAAAGACTGACACATGGCTTTAAAGAAAACAGCCTTTTTCCGCTTGCATTATGTTTGGTGAAACTTGTTATTTTTGAGCCCTGTCACAAAAGGATACAACGGCCCAGTAAATAAAATTTAATTGTAAGAAATGAGCAAAGTTGGATTCCTCTAAAACATGATGGATTTGGTTGTTGTCTTGTCAAAGGGAATGTCATGGATTTTTACCCTAGCATGTTGAAAATGAAACAAAAGTTTTACTAGCTGTCAAGGGGTAGTTTTGGGTAAGGTGCATTCATTTTACAGAAAAAGGCCTAACCAGAGGCTTTTGCCCTGTTATTGAAAAAAAAAAGGCTTAAAAACCCATCATCACCTTGAATACACTGTAAGATTAGCATGGTTGAAATTTGTCTCTTAGGAAATAAAAGCCAGTGAAAATGTTGTATTCAACAGATGTACCCCTTTAACTCAGAAGAAAAAGAAGACAAAGCTACTTATGAAAATGTTAAAAGAAGAATGCTCAGGGTGCAGGTTATTGTCTTAAGGCAGAAAATCTTGAATAGTTTTCTCTCTTTATTAAAACAGGGTGGGCAGTATAATTATGGTCAACCACAGGGATATCAACAGCAGAACCCATATGGTCCTCCACCTCCAGCATCACAGTATCCTCCTGGTTATCCAGGGGGGTGGGGAGGCCGTCCAGGTCCTCCTCCTGGGGTTGATCCAGTCCTCTGGGATTGGTTTCAGGTAAAGTAAACAAAACCTTTACTAAAGAAATACTTTGTTGGTACTCTCCTTTGATAGGATGTTATTCTGGGTTAGGTTCCTCCCTTCCAATTATCTGTATATGTTTCTTGGACAAGAGACCTATTTAGCTTGTATGTTTTGTTTACCCCTTTCCAGTCTTGCAATGATACTTTAAATGACTATTTATTTCAAATTTCCTGTTATTTATGTGTATTTATACAAAAGGTAAAGCTGGGAATTCCCTTGTGACCTGAAATGGATGAACAAAACATGCTAAGGAGGTCTACTCTGCAGTTATCGTGTATTGAGAGAGGCTCTGTAGAAGTTAAATTCCTTCTTTTAGAATCAAGACTCGAGTTCCAGTTTTCAAGGCTTGAAGAATTTATTGAGGATCTAGCCTGAAAATTTTGTAAAATGCGCTATAAAGTAGCCAACAACTACATCATTATATATGTTCATATCTGTTTGATTTTAAATGAATAATGACTTTTAAGCCTAATTTGGTTTCAGGCAGTTGATCAGGATAGATCTGGAAAAATAACTGCCAAAGAATTGCAGCAAGCTCTCTTAAACAACAACTGGTCGCAGTTTAATCCAGAAACTTGCCGACTAATGATTGGCATGTTTGACAAAGATCAGTAAGTACCTCTGTCTCGAATGCCACCCTGCCTGTGCACCTATTGTCAGAACTGTTGTCATAATACACAGCACCATTGTTTTGTTAGTTTAACTGACATATAAAACCAGTCTACCTGGAGAATTGGTGAAGCTGCTGATTTGAAGTCAGCTTTGTTTATTTGTCTTGAAGAGAACTACTCCACATAATGTTATAAAAAAAATTTGTTAAACTTATGATACTGATCATCTTTTTCAATAAATGTGTGTAAAATTTACCTTTGTAGATCTGGCACAATTGACATTCATGAATTTTCAGCACTGTGGAAATACATCCAGCAGTGGAAACAATGTTTTGACAGGTAATGCTGAATCATTTATTAACTTGATAAGCAAGATATGGTACAGAAGTTTGTAAGATAATATATTGGTGTTCAAAATAAAATTTCAGTGAGCTCAATCACCGCTATTAATTTCCATAAACATATAAATGCATGTGAAAATGAATTCAATTATGAGTTCAGGTTTTGAATACAGCTGTATCACTTTTCCTGCTCCAATTTTTAGGCTGCATATGTAATAAAAGAGTGATGAATATATTTGATTTATATGGGGAAGGTGGATTTATAGAGATATGACTTAGTGGATATTTGTTAAGCAAAAAATGGTCTGTGTCTAAGTGAAAATGGGTTTGACTAGAAAACTTAAATGGTAGCAACCAGAAATTATTCAAGCTTTTAGGTAGGATTTAATAAGTGATCCTCAGCAGGATGTTAGACATCATTCACATGTGATTTGTCATTGTGATAGCCATCCATTTGATAGATACATGAGATTTTACTGTTTTTAATTCTGAGCTTCTTTTGATTATGATAACCTTGTCAGTGTCTTGGAATTCTTCTGGGTACAAAAACTACATGTTGATCTCAATTAAAAATTCATTAATAGCAGAGCTCGCAGAGCGTAGCCCCATAAATAAACAAAATAGTAGTAACCCATCAGCCAAAAAAATTTGGATGTACGACCATACAACCATACAAGGTGCTACTTTTAACATGCATGGTCAAATGTACTGCGGGCACACCAATGCCATGGCTTTGTTCAGTAGTCCAGTGGTCAGTGCACTGGGCTCCGAGTTGGATGACCCAGGTTCTAGTCCTGGCTGGGGCAAGGCATTGTGCCCTTGAGACGTGCGGGGAAAAAAAAAAATGCGAGCTCCACTTTTAGGCTTGGCTAAACCTATATATTATTAAGAATGCTCCTGATTATATATTCTGTAATCTTTAAAGTTTCTTGTTTATTAATTCCCCAATAAAGCTTTGATCGTGACCGATCAGGAACAATTGATGCTAATGAACTTCAAACAGCCTTCACAAGCTTTGGATACAGATTGTAAGTTGATGAGTGTGCTAACTCTGAATTACTTCAATTGTTATGTTATTTGGTTTGTCTTAGTGTATCTAAAACTACCTTTCAATGACCATAACTAGGACCCAACTAGGACATGAACCTGGACTTCTTGACTCAGAGTCCACATTTTTTAACACTAGGCCACTGCATCCACTGTCAGGGTTATCCTTGACTTACGCAGTTCAAACCTGTCAGAGACACTGGAAATGAATTCTAATAAATTTTTAGGTCTTTGTCACTTCTAGTTTATTTTTCTTGATAACCTAAACAAGTGGTGCCCTCACAAAACCAACAAATGGAGGCTGTAGGAAAAGGCTGTCATATCTGAAAGTGGAGAAATAGTTGAATGCACTAATTTGATTGTTTTGCCTTTTTTCAGATCACCAAGTTTCTGTAATCTGTGTGTGCGCAAATTTGATCGCTTGAATGTTCACACGATGAAGTTTGATGACTTCATTCAGTGTTGTGTTATGCTGAAATCTTTAACAGATGCTTTTAGGAAACATGATCATCAACAGACTGGCACAGTTACCATCAATTATGAACAGGTAAGAAAGTGATGGGTTGTAATTTGTTAAAGTTTTGACAAATCAGTCCTGTAGTGAAACAAGTTTTTTCTGAATTGTTTCACTTTAAGTTTTCACCTTGGTATATTGTATAAGACCAGGTAGGAAAAGGAACGTGTAATGTGTGGGACTTTTGAGCAGCTGTAAAGAGCAGACCTGTCCTGTTCTGATTTATATGTTCAGCTGGAAAATGATAAACTTCATTTATCTGTGAATTTGTAGTTGTTGTTGATATCTTCATTTGACTACCAGTTAAAAATAGGTAAGAAAATCATTAACTCTCTCACAAAGCACTTTTAAAGGTTCCCTGACATTTGAACCAGGATGGAAGCACTTTGCTTCCCAGGAAACATAATTAAGGCTTTGTCATTGGTTGTAATTGGGATTGTGATCTCCTAGAGTTAGCTTGAAAGTACTAAAGGGAGACTTTTGTATAGCCAGTGATTTGGGAAAAAGCCAAAATTTTTACAGAACTGCACCCTGTATGGTTTTCCAGTAATGCTTATGTTAGTTTTTGAAATTACCCTAATGTCTTATATCTAGGAAATTTGATTTCCATGAATACTCATTCAAAATTTTATTTCAGTTTCTAGAAATGGTGCTTGGACACACTTTGAGTGGAACATAACAATGTTGATATGCAGTGTTGAACCTTTGACTCTCCAAGTAGTCCTCCAGGCAGTATGTCATCTTTTGAAGGGTTTCACTGGCTTGCACTTCAAAACTGCAAGCTAAAAGTACTAAACCTTACTTACTATAGGTACAATTAGAATATCATTTTAATAAATTGTGTAATCTTGGGTATGACATATATGTTTTCCTTTTACAAAATCAGGGGAAGTGTTTAGGATGAACTGTATTTACCTGTAGGTTATTAAAATCTTTGTTGTCTGTTTCCCCAGTGTCTGCACTTGTTATGAATAAATGGGGGGAACTTCTGTTTTCTTTTGGATTTAAATTAGCTCTTCAAAAATAGAAAGACAGTGCAATTATATTAAGATTTTTTTTCATTGTCATTTGCTTAAGACATGCTTTTAAATGGGAAAACCATAAAGTTTTTTTTATAGGAGAGAGCTTTACAACTGCCTCTATAGCATATTTTATTGTATATTAGACCACATAATTTTAAGTTTACAAGCAATGTTACTCCTAGCAGTTTTTACAAGTTGTTTGTTAGCCCTTTGGTGTTAGCAATATTGATATTCTGTAGTATTAAGTGTTGTCTAGATAAGATATATTACACTGTTTCTGCAAGAATATGTTTTTGTTTTTCTGAGTTGGAGTAGACAGATTTGTCTAAAAGGCATTGTGTTGAGTGTCAAGTTTTTAAGTCAATCCATATTTTCTTCTCTGGGGCATCTTGAAGTGGTGACTGAAGCAGCCAGTAAAACAATACAAAGTAACCAGTGAGGTTGGTTGCCTGCTGCTTCTCATCAAGTAGAATTTTAGGTTTCATAGAAGCCTTCCTGATGAAGGAGTGGAAAATAACATTAGGTAGTACTTCTTATTTTATAGAAATTTTTCTGCTCAAATTACCAAAATTACTTATCCTTGAAGTGCATCAATTTAACATCTTACATGACTAAGTCATAAATTACTAGAGAGATTCTCATTTGCAGAATGTAATACTTTATTTGCAGAGTTCCTTCTTGGGTACTAGGGCTGGTCTGTAATTTATACATGGTGACAAGGTACATAATTTTGTACAGAATATTCATCACTGGCTGCCAAACTGAAAGATGTGCAAAATGTCTCCCAAACATCCTGTTATGGCTGGTTATGCCAAGTTATCAATTGAGTTTTTTTCTCTTCCACAATCAGGCAGAGAGAGCTCTGTAAGTCCCACTAACCAGTCTACTTAAAGTTGTTTATTACAAAAAAAAATTACTTAGCAGTGAAACTATAGGTAGTCTTGCCCTGTATCAACCATTTTATGTTAATAAATGTTCTTCTGAAAAACCCGCTTTCTAGGAGTCTAGCTAAGGAGATTTTCCCTTTCATTATCACCCATATCTCCAACAAAATTCTGATTAGTTCAAAACTTTGCCAAAGATGTGCCTACAACTTGTTACAGCTGAAGATTGTAAGTTCAAATTTGAACCTCAAGGGTGTAAGACACTTCTGTTTGCAAGAGAACATAAGTACAATGCATAACAGTTTACCAATGTAGAATTCTTTAAGACTCCTAAGGAATTTTCATAAATTCTTCTCTTTCCCACCTGAAGCACCTTTGAGTCCAATCTTGCATGACCTAAATTTTTTTAAACTGCAAATTAATGATTAAGGGGGAGGGTGTTTCAAATATGACCCCATACTCATCTCTCTAGTCACTTAAAAATACAAATATCTCTTGCTTTCGAGGAACTTGTGGCAAATGATACCAGTTATTTATCTAAAAGAGATATTTTTTACAATTACAGTTTCTTTCGAGATTTTCACCCTAGCTCTCTTTCTCTTACACGACCCTACCCTTGATAGTGGTTAAGTCCCAGTCTTACCTCTGTCTTTGTAAACAATCAATAAACATGGCGGACACAACGACTTCGAATGGAGTATCGCTGCTGTTCAAAAATTTGACCGCGCGGGTTAGATTTAAATTTGAGATGATGGCAAAGATCGATGCCTGAAGTCTTCCAAATTTGAAAGGTAAAAAAGACAATGCAGGTGTTACGAAGGTTTGCACAGTTTTACACCCGTTTTACTGTGATATTGTGTTGTTATGATTGTTGATATCTTGATCGATGGTATGTTTTTCGATTTCCTAAGTTAAGCATTTCAGTCCAAGAATTCTGAAGCAGCCTCAACATTTGAAGAGTGCTTTAGGAGTATTAGAGTCTTTGGAAGGAACGGCGTCACCTTGTTCCTAAAGAATTCATCTAACAGAGTTTTGTCAGGGAACCCCACCCCAAGATCCCAGCCCCTACCCCTGTAAAAGACACTTGTAATCAAAAGGTCACCACTCTCATATACCTGGCACAATAAAACCTAAGAAAACTGCATCCCTTTTCTGCCCTAAGAGAAGTGAAAACAGACAGAACCTTAAATAGATAGCGGAGCAGCTTTTCCCTTGAGCCACCTCTAAAATAAGCAAATGAATTTACTAGGTAGGCACTTTTAAAACCTGACAACAGTATTCCAGAATCTCTTCACAAACTGACATATATGATACCTGTACTTATAGATCTTAAAACATCACCAGCTTAAATGAGAGGTCCCCTATCAGGTGAAAAATTGATAATTTATAAAAAGTACTCCCCACTGGATGATAGAGCATTCCCCCATGTAGCCATCTCTGCTGCCCGTCATAAATAGTTTTTGCATTGAAAAGTATTCTGAGGTTTGATATTCAGTCCAGCATAGCCCCACTCACCACTCATGCTGTCCTGAAAACATTGTTTTAACATCTGGTTGGAGAGTCTGTGAATTATTACACTCAATTTTTGTAAACCTATTGAAAGCAGACTTATGTTTCTGTAATTTTATAACTTAATGTTTTCTACCTTTTAAAGAAAAATGCAGGACAGTGAAGGAGGGCTATTTCAAGAATGGTTTTCCTCCATCAGTGGCATTCTAAATCAAAGAGTCAATGTAAAAGAGATCTCAGCTCAGTTTGGCTTGCTACAATCAGATGAAGAGAGAGTTGCATTTGGTCTGAATTGGGCTTGCCTCCATGAGGTTATGAAGGTGGAACCTTGCTTTAATTCAAAGTCAGCAGAACATTCTATCAGGCTGCGTAGGGAAGGAAACAAATTGTACCAAAAAGATAGACATTACAAGGCACTAGAAGTTTATACTTGCAGTATTTTGAATGCACCTGTTGAAGGTCCTGGTAATGAATTGTCTCTTGCTCTGGCAAATAGATCTGCAGTCTTGTTTAAGCTAAGGGAGTATCCCAAATCTTTGGAGGATATTCAACAGGCTTTGAGCTATGGGTATCCTGTGGAACTCAGGTACAAGTTGCTTGACAGACAAGGAAAGTGTCTTTTACAACTTGGTAGAAGAAGTGCAGCTGTTGACTGCTTTCAAGAGGCTAAGAAGGTTCTTGATGAGTCCAAGCTGGATGAAACCAAAAGAGGAACTTTTTTGAAAGACCTTGAAATGGAAATTTCAGTATGTAGAACTCAGGAATTGAAAGTAAACAAAAGTCATGAAAAGCCTACAGATATAAATGAAAATGATGATCATCTGTTGCACCAAGAATTTGCTTTGCCAAAACACACTCATGGAAGGAATATCAAGTTTACTTCAGCCTCTTGTTGTGTGGACATCATCTCATCCCCAGACTATGGTCGTCATTCAGTAGCAACTCAAGATATTTTTGTTGGGGACATCCTGGTCATTGAAAAGCCTTTTGCATCTGTTCTTCTACCAGAACATGTGGAAACACACTGTTATCACTGTCTGAAGCGTGTAACTGTCCCAATGCCTTGCTGTCAGTGTACTACTGTCAGGTACTGCAGTGTAGATTGTGCAAAACAAAGCTGGGATGGTTATCATTCAGTGGAATGCAAATATCTCAACCTTATCCATAAAGCCAAAATTGGCAAAAATGGTCACCTTGCTCTGAGAATAATAGCAAAAGCCAGATATAAATTCCTGAAGAACTTCAGACGTGAAATGAGGAAAAGACTGTGTGACAAAGTCAGCCAAGAATCTGGCTGCCTAGATGATGGAAGCTATATTTCATCTCATTACCTTCCAATTTACTGCCTTGTGACTCATTCAGAGGACAGAAGTGCTGGTGATCTGTTCCACCGCACAGTGATGGCCATATTCCTGTTAAAGATACTTCAAGGAGGTAGCTTTTTCGGCAAGGATCCATACTCTCAAGATGACCTGATCTTCATTGGAGGCCTGATCTTGCGTCATCTTCAGTCAAATCCTTGTAATGCTCATGAAGTTTCAGAACTTCAGCTGAATCTTAACTCAGTTGCCACATCAGAAACAGGTGAAATTGCCTCAGGGATATATGCTACCCTAAGTTTGTTCAATCATTCTTGTGATCCATCAGTGACCAGAAACTTTTACGGTGACACATGTGTTGTGCGTGCCATAAAAAATATTCCAAAGGGTGAAGAAATTTCTGATAACTATGGCACACTTTGTGCACTCACTCCTAAAGCTGAAAGACAAAAAGAACTTGCAAGTCAGTATTACTTCACTTGTCATTGTAGAGCTTGCAAGGAAGACTTTCCTTTGTATTTAGATATTCCAAGCAATGCATCCCCAGTGTTTAAATGTCAAAGCTGTTGTATTCCTCTTTCCATTAAGAATGAGGGAAAAGTGCCATCAAGTGTCTGTTCCAAGTGCCATTGTTCTTATGATTTGCGGCAGATGAGAGCCACTTTAGAGGATTCAACTCAGTTATTTGAGCAAGCCATTGATGCTCTTCTTCTCAAAGCAGATGTGGAAGGAACCCTGAGTGTGTTCATATCTCATCTTAGACTGCTGGAAGAGCTTGTGTGTCGTCCCTGGCAAGATTACAACAAGTGCCAGGAGGCAATCAAACAGTGTTACAGTATTATGGGCAACTGTCATGTACTGAATTGATGGTACAGCTACTGATTGCAAACATTTTTACATTACTTACAGTCAAAAGATTTTTATGATTTTGTCATCTATAATGCATTGCCTTTGTGAAGAGGGATGGTCTACCCTAGATGCTGTGCTGGTCAACTCACAGGCACCAGTGCTTAACTCTTGGACATCCACCGATAATTCAACACCATCAACTTACTACTTGTTTACATCTGCTGTTGTTTTTTTCCGCAAAATCATTGCTTGGAATAAGTCAAAAAATGAATTTATTGGCCTTTCTATACTCCAGATTGTAACTAACTGGTGTCTAGAGTTGTTTTATCAGTACAAGAGAACATTACCTTAAGTGTAAAATGCTTTTTTCATTTAATTCCTAAACCAAACTTTTATTTTGTTAACTCAGACTGACTTTCTTGAAAATCACACAGTAAACTTAATTAGAATGGTTATAAAGCTTGGAAATAAATGATAGACTTAAATCGAGATCAAAGATAATTGAACTTGATCAAAATTTTCAATTTAACATCTAATCCCTCTGAGTGAAAAAATAAAATTAGACAAAATTAATGAAAATTACAAAATTTAAAACTCCAGATATTGCATTTCTTGCATGGTTAACTCAACTCTGGTTATTAGCTCATATGCCAAATCACCCTCTAGTTATATGGAAAATGATTTACCCAAGTGTTACTACACTATATTTACTTTTGGCTGGAAGCAAACACTTCTCCTGTGCATTGTAGGTTATTTAATGTAAAGAAACTCACTTGTTGGATACAAGAATGTTTATAACTCATATTTACCATTTCATATGCAATAATTGTTAAATATCAATCAGGGGATTACTGGTTGATCCAATACCAAATTCTCAGAACTATCATCATAGGAATTGTCTAGCAGACAGTAAGGAGAACTACTAATTAATTGATTTTAAGTGTAAAAGGGTTAAGCTAATTAGATTTCCTCCAATTTGAATTACATTTTAACATAAACAATACAAATATAAGAGAGTAAAAGATAGTGTAAGGTCAAAGTAAGGCAGTAATAACAATTGTGAAAAAAAGTACTTGAAAATTGCTCTTTTAAATAGTTTTATGATAGTCTTCTCTCGTAAAGATATAGGAAAATCATTCCAATAGTACCATGAAATGATTGTTGGAAAAAATCTCAGTAATAGATCACAGATGACGTCAAAATGTGGTAAGAACAAAAAAGTGGTACATGAGGCGCAGCCGAGTGTGTCACTGATGTTCTTACCACATTTTGACGTCCTCTGTGATCTATTACTGAACAGATGCACGGCAACTTGGAATCTATTTGTTTTAAACAATAAAGAATTAAAAAAAGTTTTAATGATGACGTCATCTATACGTCTGTCCTCCAATAGATCATAAGTGAGAACGAATCAGAATGCGTGCATAACTGAGCTTATTATATAAATATAAACTTTTTAATTAGAGCTGTTGTATTGATATAAGTCTTCCTTCTTAAGTTTAGCATGGGATCGTAAGTGTAAAAACAAATTAAAAACAAGGAATGCATGAGAGGTAGTATGCCTGTTACCAGGTGCCTCACCTACAGGGCTGCCAATTGTAACACAGTGGACACATTTGATGGAAAAAATATCTATGTCTATATATATATATTTATAGATTTACCACCAAAATTAAACAGTACAGAGCCTTGATTAAAAGTCGTAAAATATCACAAATTTATTTTTTTCCTCAGAGAGTACGGTAACGAATCCTGCAATCTGATTGGCTCTTAGCGCGGTCAGTATTCCTATCTCTGCCCATGGGCACGGTAACGCATTCCCGAGTACATCCCAATCTTCACTAACATTTTTCCTGGAAAATATCTCGTTTTTCCGGCTGGGCAGCATTTTTAAACGAAGACGTCGGTCACTACCTCAAGCCAATAAATAACTTTGGTTGACAAGCGGCCTAAAAACCGTCTGTACTTAATTTTAATCCTTTACAAAAAGTACCTAGAAAGTTAAACGCGAGGTATTTGGTTACAATTGAATCATAGATCGAACTTTCATTCAATTAATATCTGAATTCTCTCAAACAATTTGTTCGTGGTGAAATGGCGAGCGAAGTCTTCAGTTCTACTTCAAATACGCTTTTGGTGAGTCTTTCCAAGTTCGTTCATTTTGGACATTTGTACCGTAAATTGACAAAAGAAACTGAAGGAATTCAATGAGAAAAAGTCGCATTAAATCCCCTTGTGTCTAGTTGAAGTGGTCATTCGAATTTACTTGTTGTGTAGGAAAGACCAGGTTTACACGCCTTTACAGCAAACAACGAGCAAGCTCTCACAACTTCAAAATAAAAAAAATTTGAATTTACTTACAATTAATTTCCTTGCCATTTACTTACTGAATAGAG